GTGTAAGATGTATGAGAAAAAAGGTGATAAGTTCGAAATCATAAGCAACACTATTTTCAGAGATGTTTTAAAATATGCAGCCAATAATTCCATCCTCTTAACAGAAGAGAAACCCCGTGACTGCGTTTACAACGATCAGTAACAGTATGTATGTATTGTACCATAAACTTGAGAGTATTATATGAAAGATATAAAAGTGAAGTTTTTCTAGTCAGCTGACTTCCATTAAAAGCTAGTTCTCATTGAAGTGTTAGTTTTAAAAAGTTATTTTTTTTTGTTAAGTAAGCAATGTTAAGTTGTCTAGTTGCAAGTGCTGATCAGGATTTTCTGATCTAGTTTCTGATGTAATCACTAAACTGAAGAACTCTGCCCTACATAATATATCTAACTGATGTTAGAAGAAGAGTTTTCCGGTTTAGTGAAAACAGGTTTAGAACTTCGTAGACAGAATACATTCAACCTTTATATCTGAGCGCCTTGACAATTATTAATTTCTAGTGGTTAACCAGTTTGCATAACATAGAAATAAAAGCGATATCAGACAACATAAAAATAGTTTGTTGGTGGTGCTCCACAATGCAGTCATCCTTGCGGTGCGGTTTGAGTCAGTGGGGGAGGGTATCCCAATGTTTTAAACGGTTTAAATGTGAGATACAGCAGTTGTTTTTTGTGCCAAGATAAAACACAGTCACAGGAAACTCAGTGACTGTTCTGTTCACTTTAAACTAATTATTTCTCTCTATGAATTTTGACAAACAGCCAGAAAATGTAATTTACATAACACACATCTAAGGCATTCCAATCACACATGTACTTGTCATCCATCTTTATATAGGAGGTATCAAGCCATAAAAGCATGCTCAGTTACCTTTTGCATAAACATGTATGTCAAGTACGTGTGTGTGTGCGTGTGATCAGAATGCCCAAAAGGTGTGATGAAATTACATTACATGTTTCAGTTAAATATAGTCTCTTCTTTTTGTTCCTATTATGTACTGGACTAGAATTTAATAGTCCTGACGCAAGAAAGACGGAAGTCAGAAGACCACTAGGTTTGCGATGATACTTCTATTTTCCAAACACAAGGAGAATCAATGTGTCACACAAGAGTGTGAGAGCAAAAATATATATGAATGTCCGAACAAGTGTGTGAACACAAGTGTGTGAGCGAATATTCAAAATGAACAAATCAATAGACAGTCTTAACATGATTGGCTAATTATAATGGAATATCGATCCATATATGCATAGCAAATATACAGACTGTCAAACAAACACACATATTATATGGATATATATCACCAAGGTCAGACTGTCAAACAAAACACACATATTATATGGATATATATATATCAGTTCCGTTTTTCATTTGTGATCCCTCCAAGAATATGTATAACCCTGTTTTATATCAGTCATATAGCCTCACCATAGACTAGTTATTATTTCCTCGTTACGTCAAAATCTAATCAGCAAGGATTTTCCAGCTTCAAGTGAATTATCTGCTTGATACGGATGAGAATGGAACCTCCAGGGATGATGGATAACTTCACAATATGTATCATAATATTCTTATACAAAACTGCACCTTTTGTGTTGAACTATATCCCTGAATAAGTCATACGGACAGAAATAGATTCCTTCAACCATGCAGGTATACCTTGTTCATGAGTAGTGTAGATCACGAAATACAGGTGTGAACAAAATGATCATGGATACAAATTGGAATCAAAGTTTTCAACTTGAAATGAAGGTTAGGAGGTGTGAATATAGATTACAAGAGGCATAGAAACAAAAAATTACACAGGATTAGAATATAATTGTAAAAATGGTTATTCTAAACGGATTACAAGTGTGATCAGGAGGAGCATGGAAACAAACTTAAGTTAACTGATTTTATAACTGAAAAAATAGCATGAATTGAATGAAGACAAAGAGAGAAAATTACACACAGAGAACACAACAAAAAAACCGAAGGATAAGGGAACATACCGAACTAGGTCCACGGTAGTTGTAAAGGCTGGACTAGTTTCTTTTGAACACATAGCTCCGACTTTTCGATGCATATGGCGAGAGCTTCCGCAGTACAAAGAAGTCGGAAACAAACTGCCTTTGATAGATTTGGTGTTTCCTCGCATGACTTCCTCCAAGTCACCCTTGGACGACCAACTCGCCGCCTCCCTTTCAGGTTCCACTCGAGGGCTTGTCTAGTGATGTCACTTGATGGTTTCCTCAGCGTATGGCCAATCCATCTCCATTTCTTCCTGCCTATTTGTTTCACAATCGGTTCCTGGTTGGTTCGCTCCCAGAGATCCCTGTTGCTGATCTTTTCTGGCCATCTGATCTTGAGTATTGAGCGGAGACAGCTGTTAATGAAGGTTTGAAGTTTGTTTGAGATGCTCTTTATGACGCGCCAAGTCTCTCATCCGTATAGTAGCACTGACTTCACATTGGAGTTGAAAATCCGGATCTTATTTTTGATGCTGAGTGCTGTTGACCTCCACACAGATTTGAGAGTAATGAAAGCTTGTCTTGCTTTTCCGATTCTGGCTTTGATGTCCTTGTCAGTTCCGCCTGTAGTTGAGACGATGCTTCCCAGGTAGGTGAAGGAGGTTGTTTCTTTCAGGTTCTTCCCACTTATGCTGATTGTTGTCTGTTGTTGTTGTTGCTGTTGGCTAGGAATCTTCATCATCTCTGTTTAATCTATGTTCACGTGAAGTCCTATCTTTGATGCTTCTTTTGCCAACTTGTTACTTTTCACTTGCATATCTTCCAGTTTATGGGAAATCAGACATATATCATCGGCGAAATCCAGATCCTCCAAGTCTTTCGTGTCAGTCCATTTTATGCCTGTTCCCTCGTTGGTTGCCGTTGTCTGTCGCATTATCCAATCAATTGCAATCAGGAAGATCATTGGTGATAGTAGACAGCCTTGCCTCACTCCCGTCCTCACTTCGAAGGCCTCCGTAAGTTTCCCGTTGGTGATATATATCCATATAATATGTGTGTTTGTTGACATGTCTGCTATATTTTGCTATGTATATATGGATCGATATTCCATTATAATTAGCCAATCATGTTAAGACTGTCTATTGATTTGTTCACACACTTGTTCGGACATTCATATATATTTTTGCTCTCACACTCTTGTGTGACACATTGATTCTCCTTGTGTTTGGAAAATAGAAGTATCATCGCAAACCTAGTGGTCTTCTGACTTCCGTCTTTCTTGCGTCAGGACTATTAAATTCTCGACCAGTACATAACAATAATTTGGCGACGAGTACATAATAACTACATAGCCCATAATAGTAGTAAAAAGGTTAATCAGTGTTGCCTAGTTTTCAGTGCTACTCAAACTTTGATAGAAATGACAAACGAAACATTAGCTGAGATAAACTTATTCCCTGGTGCATGTATTCATATTCAGCTTCATGAAGAAAATGTAATCTTGGTGTTGAAAGAGTTCCATCTTAATCAATACGAGATACATTTGTAATGTGCTACACATTTTAAATTTCTATTATAGATTACAGAAATAAAAGCGTAGTATTTGGACTGTTCTAATAGTTTAATTATAGACGCTTTTTGTGATGAAATTTAATAATAAACTTATCATTGGTGTCAGCACCAAGGAATTGATCATTATATTTTTGAGACTATTTGGTCATATGTATGTGACAGGAGCTTATTGTTTATGTAAACTTAAGTATGTGGCAATAGAAGTGAGTAAGCGTCAAGAGATCTTGCCATCTTTTCAATCTAAAGTATGTTAGAAAATTTTATGGAGTATGATAATCTACCCACATGAATTAAAGAAATTAATTTTATTTGTCCATGCATATATTTCAAGTTTATATACAAGAGATCCTAAATGCTACAACTCAAATGTGTTGACAGTCAACTATTCTAGATATAAATTGATGTTTAAGTGCTAGGAGGAATTGACTGGAGGAGAATCATGAACTTAAGTTGCACACTTATCTGCGACTATCTACATGTTGCCTTCCCCAATCATTTCACTCTTGAAGTTAGGGAATTAACCACTAAGCTGTTAAAATGCCCAGCAATATTGTGTTCCTTAACATCATGACAACGTTGTACGCTTGATCGTTGGTTTTCAGTTAACACTGTTCAGATTAAACAGTATAGCTAGTTAGTTAAAATTCTATGATAGTATTGCACACACACACATATTTATAAGTATCGCACTATGAGTGACTTTACAGGTGTCAGGTGAGTTATATACTAAACAGTTTTTCAAGTGTTGGTTTGTAGGGACTTCATCGGTTACAAGATTTCATCATAGCTAGGGGTCGCGCTATGTCGTGAATTGGTAGAAGTTAGAATTCATGGGCCATTGGATCGGGTCCCAGTGGCTTAATGGTCTACGAGCTCGCTGGCCTTATGACCAGAAGGTTCTGGGTTCGGATCCCGGTGGGTACGTGCTGATGAAGAGTCTCAAGCTATGACGAAACAGCTGTCCAGTACTCCCAGGTGGGTGTTCAATGGTTCTCTAACTGATGTCAGCTCATGATGAAATCCTGTAACTAAACAGTGTTCTTTTAGTAGTTCAATATCTTATTGAAAGCTTACTATTAACCTTAGTTACTGATTGCTGGAGATGCGATATGAATAGGCGTCACTAAATAGCCTATGTAAAATAGCGAGACACTAGCTTTAACAAGTGAAATCATTTCCTATCAAGTAAATCCCACCTTAGATTGATTAAATTGTATATACCATCCATATTCCACCTTACTCGCCACAAGTACCGTTCAGTTTTTGGAACTCATCTCTTCAGTACTGCTCGAAATACAAACGAATTAGTGCACAGCCCGTTTGTCAGCTGGAAACAGCTGTGAAATGATAGATGTCACAGTAGCAACTGCTAGAAACGTTCATTACTAATGACCACATTTTCACAGTAAAATATTGTAACATTATTCAGCAATAATAACAAAAAAAACTGTTTATAAGTACATTTATCGTATATTTTACACTGAAAAACTTGTAATCAACGAAAATCCTTATAAGACAGTGTCATTTAGTGATGACAGTAAGAATAATGATACAATATACAGAAAAAATCTCACAAATAATATAAGCATAAAAATATGTTATAATTAAGTGTTAGGTAGTAGATTCTGTGGAAATATATCTTGACCAGCATCAAGGCGATCAGCCATGTTTAAAAGATACTCAGCTATTTGTTCCCATAATTTCACAACTGCAAGTCCGTTAACATGCTACATATTAAGTGGAAACAATTAAAGCCTAATTACTCACCTACCTGTTGAATCACAGAATTCAAAGAATTAAGCATTGGTTCACCATAGGAACTTGTGAAATAATGATTACCAGTGGTTAAATTGAAATTGTTATTATCGTTTAATATGTAAGCATTTGTGGATGAACGAGTCGGTGTTAATTCAGGAATTTGACATTGAGGTTCTTGATGACTGTTTGTATTTATTGCAGTAGTAGTAGTAAAATTTTTGACCTCATTTGTGCTACTTCCATGATCATCATTAAACATAAGTGACTGGTTAAATGCATGATAACTTTTATTACCATTCTACGAAATATGATTAGCAATTTGTTCACATATAACCACTTACCATGATTGCATTAACTAAATATTCGTGTTCTTTCATGTATATCTCCTCAGCCATTCTAGCCGCCGTACCAGCGCTTAAATATCGTGCACTGATTCTCACATATGTTTCACCACTATTCTTTTTTGCTTTACGTCTACACGCTTTTAAATAGGCACATATTTTTTCACGATGAAATGAACCATTGAATTCAGGGAAATTTCTTTCAAGTACACTTTTCAAAATGGTCAAAATATGCTTTGGTTGGTGTGAATAGGTAACTGTCCTGTCTAAATAATCGTTGACCAACTTTCGTAATAACAACTATAAATGTAGGTGAAAATAAAAGTATTCTTTAGACGAATTTAAAGATACTACTCACATTGTAAGTGATCTCCCTTTCAGAGTATTGTTTTCTTTCAACACTTTCCTGATAAATACTTTGATGTGACGATAATAACTGAACAGTTAATTTCATATTATGAATTACCTCAGTGTCTTGAGTTAAAATGTCATCAGATTCTGTCAGTTGAACAGAAGTAAGTGGACAAGGGTTCTTTAATGTGTAATAGACAAAGTGATTATAAATCATCATAAACTTACAGAACTGATGGAGAATGCATCTGAATTTGAATCACTATTATGAGGATTGACAACGCTTTTGATTTCTTCTTGAAGGTTTTGTCGGCATTCAGTAAATTCATTAGGAATGCTTAAGAATTCAGGGTTAGTTTCATTTGAATCGAATTTTATGTCAGTATTCTCCATGATTTAACGATTTAAAGCTTGGGTTTATTCCACTCTTGCTTCTCACAAATAGAATCTGAGACTATTTATATATAGGATGCACTACAATCAGACGTGACTGTTATTAATTTAAATTAACCAATACTTTATGTGTGTATTTATTAATGTTAAAGGCTGCCGTATGGTGGTAATATTTTGTTGGCGAAAATCGATAACTTCATTCCTCAATATACACCTATAGGCGTATATACATATAATATAGTGTATAACTATTTTGTATAGGTTATAATCTGGATATGCTCATGAATGTGTTTGTTTTCTATTTAGTCAAAATATACAGATAAAATGATTTAAATGAGGATGAACACTCGTGCATTTTTAATGAATTTATTAATATAATCAAATAATTTGAATGAACTTTGATGCGAAATATTTAACATACGATACTTAATAAGTGGGATAAATGAATTACTATTTATTGTTGCTGAATTAAATCTGAGATTCTTTTTATATATTAAGTGTACAAAAAGAATGTAGTCTGTTGACTGGTGCTAATAACATACACCCTGAAATATTAACACGATGAATGCTCACTTAGAGAAAAGTAACAACAAATGGTTGGAGGCGATCGGCCACATGAAGCCTTGCTCAACCTAGGTTTCGTGCTAATTGGTACTTGTCAGCAAGGTGTATCTGCAACCTTGAAGGAATACATGTCCCTTCTGAGGTTCGAACACGCGTATTATATGATAAGTTGGTGGTAATATGAAGATATTAAATTAGTGACGTTTAATCTTAGCGTAATATATCTATGTTGCAAAACTATGAAAGTTTAGACAGATCGTTATATAACAGACTGTTACATGAAGATGAGAAATGAATAGAAGTGTGATGCAGACAATGTGTTCCGACGGAAGATTATTCTCACATATTCACACAGTTCAATACTGCGTTAGCAACAGAATATTATGTATTTGAACATTCTATTTCACGTCGTTTAGCGTAAACCGAAATCACAAGCTCAGTGATTGGTTAAAGAATATAAACTGTAAAGTTACAGATAGCGGCTTGATAAATTGAAAATAAGTCTCGGCTTCCGTGTTTTGCCTCCTACTGTTGAAAAAGTGATTAATTTTCGATTCACCCACCCCTAATTCTTCCATCGTAGTCGTATACTGGTTAACACTGCTCGAAGAAGGAGGTGGCTTGGCATACGTAACACGCGTGTCTTAGTCATCTTAATCGATGTAGCTTTACGACCAGACAGACTGACTCCACTCCCCCCCCTTTACCTAACACCCATTCCCTATGCGGAGAATATAATGTTAGTTACAATCATTCAGTTCCATATTATTGTTGAATTTAAACGTTTCCCTCGTTCGCACATACGAAATCACAATGTCAAATATCCAAGTAGGCTTACAATATGGTTGAGACAATAAACAAAGACGTTACTAATGGCTGTTTTGTATCCAGCACAGTTTCTCCTAATAGGTTATCTTATTTAATCTGTAAACTTTTGATAACCCATCAGCTGAACCTATATGTATAAGGAAATCACAAAACAATCATTGTTCTGAGATCGGCATACATCGTTGCATACAGCCATTTAGTTCCCGTTGGGCACTCATTAATTACGGCTACTTTCATAAGTAAAATGTATGATGTTTAGTTTGAAACTGATACAAAAACAAGTGACTTGAAAAAATTATTTGCATTCAAGCGCTGAAAATCAATTTGTAGTAGATATTAGTATACATTGTATCATTCCGTCATCTATTCTCCTATGTAGCCCTTGGACAGCTCGTATGATTGTTTCCGAAATCCCCCAGTTTATGAAATGTATACTTCTTAGTTTCAATTTGTTCACCACATACTATACTATATTGTCATTGTTGAGGATAAGACTCTGAAGAAAGAAGAGCTTGATAAATTAATTAATAGCAATACTATGTTCTCAGCCTCTGTTATTCGTCCAGTGCATTTATTGTTTATTAGATTTAAGTGTGAAATATTCCCGTGTCATGAATTAACAGTCAATCTGAACGAAGAACAAATTCTCTTCAGGTTATTAGTTATAAAATAAAATGTTTCTTATCAATATCAGTAAGGTAAGCGTTCTTTGCGTAGAACATATCAGTTCTACGGTGGCCAGGTAGATAGTACTTGTATTGTAACGGTAGAAGACCAGATATTTGGTGAAGGAATGTTTATTTAGAATCTCAATATAGCGAAATTATATACACCTTATCTTCAACGCACCATTTGCACAGATCTTCCGCGTTGTGCTACTTCTCAACTTTATATTGTGTTCTGTTTTTACATCCCCCATGTATCTCCGCAACGCCGTTTCATTTGTGTTTTATTCTGACATCAAATCTATCTTATGTATATTAATAGTACCATATATTCTACTAGCATTTTTAGTTTTAGGCTTTAAATTTAACCATTTAGACTCATCCAGTGACGGCTTCATTCTGCGTATTAATTCCGCTGTAGATTTCTTGACCTTATTCATTATTCTATCTACAGGCTTCTTAATTTCCTCAAATGGACCCGTCTAAGTATGTTCAGTGACTTTCTTGATATTATAGTCAGATTTATCCAAAACTACTGTCGAGTTTCCTTTGTCAACTTTTGCAATGACAATGTTCTTATCCTGTTTTAGACTAATTATAGCTAGTCTTTCCGATGTTGTTAAGTTTGATTTCGCCTTCATTTGATTTTTCAGGATTAATGCACATTATGCTCGAACCTATTCTGCTGCCATCTTATCTACTGAACTAAGTGGTACTTCTATGTTAGGAATGATATCCTCTGGTTTTAATTTACTAACTGTTATGTTGAAATTTAGTCCTTTCTCAAGTACTTTTATCTCGCTAGAGCTTAGTTCCCTTGATGAGAGGTCGATCACCCATTTTGTTCTGTCTACAGAGGATGAAACGTTGAAGTCAATCTCATTTATTGTTTTTTTCCTCCATTAGTGTGTTGAATTTTTTGATTTTCTTTATGCCGATTCTCCAGTTTTTTCGGATGTTTCAACAACAATTAGGTAATCTTTGTCACTGACCATACATTTGAGTTTGTGCATTTTCTATTTCATTTCGTATATTATTTAGTTTCACAGTAATTCGATGTAGTCCTTCTCTTAGACATAATTTACTGATATGTTCGGCTGCTGATGTCATTTTTCTTGAAGTAATTGGAGTATTTATGCGTAAATATTTTGGAATTATATGATTTTTTAAACATCGACTGTTAAAAATCCGATGGTTTGTGAATCTTGCTTCTGTTTGATCTACGAGTTTCCAGTCTATGTCTGATAATGAAATATTCGAACAGGTTTACGGAATATCTGTGGGGTCTACACCAGGTCCTATATTCACAAGGGAGCTAGAAAATGGTCTATTGAAATAGTGGAAATGGGACTGCACTATCATTGCATCGAAGCCTACGCTAAATATATGCCTGGTGATTTGATTCTGAGCCACTTCAGTAGTGCTCATCCAAATGGCCTATTTCACTTGCGAAGGGGAACACAATGACCCTGTAATTTATAGACGTCTCACGCGTCATCTTGGATGTCTGGAGTTTTATAAAGACCGACATGGGTTATAAAAGTCGCGAACATGAATTGGTGACGTTGAAGAAGAAGCTATCATCTTAGAGCTTACACTTCAGGGGAGATAGCCCTCCTGAGATTTTATCTCAGCATCTAATCAGAGGGATTAAGAGCACTTTTTACTCTTGACATCTGTTCCCATCCTTTAGCAGCCGTCCAGTATTCTTCCCGAAACCGAAAGACGTCTTATTTAATCTTAGCTCCTCGTCATGCATGTACCGTTTTAACTACTCTTGTAGTTCAAGTTATATGGAGCCTACGACTAAGCAAGCTCATCTGCAGATTCAAAAATATTTAATAGCTTGGTGCAGAAACGGCGAAATTGAATGCGTAACTTGAACTACAAGAGTAGTTAAAACGGTACATGCATGACGAGGAGCTAAGATTAAATAAGACGTCTTTCGGTTTCGGGAAGAATACTGGACGGCTGCTAAAGGATGGGAACAGATGTCAAGAGTAAAAAGTGCTCTTAATCCCTCTGATTAGATGCTGAGATAAAATCTCAGGAGGGCTATCTCCCCTGAAGTGTAAGCTCTAAGATGATAGCTTCTTCTTCAACGTCACCAATTCATGTTCGCGACTTTTATAACCCATGTCGGTCTTTATAAAACTCCAGACATCCAAGATGACGCGTGAGACGTCTATAAATTACAGGGTCATTGTGTTCCCCTTCGCAAGTGAAATAGGCCATTTGGATGAGCACTACTGAAGTGGCTCAGAATCAAATCACCAGGCATATATTTAGCGTAGGCTTCGATGCAATGATAGTGCAGTCCCATTTCCACTATTTCAATAGACCATTTTCTAGCTCCCTTGTGAATATAGGACCTGGTGTAGACCCCACAGATATTCCGTAAACCTGTTCGAATATTTCATTATCAGACATAGATTGGAAACTCGTAGATCAATCAGATTAGAAATGGGAACACCAATGTACGATTTTCTCTCTATCATCTATTAACAGACATAATCGACTGTTCCCACCAGAAGATTAGTGAATAAAAGAGTAATATATCAAGGGATGTCATATATTTGAATGGCATGATTGACTAGTTGATGTGGAAGAACTGCAAGATGAATGAGACATATCTAGAATGGAACTTTTGGAAAGCCATAGACACCTGTAATTGTGCTACATGTGGGTTTCAGTATGTTATCGGTGAGGTATAATTTTATTTTCTCAGTTTCCTTAGTGATTTCTCTATCTACTTTCTCAGCTTAATCTTTCATTGGTTCTGGTTCCTGAACGTCGCTTTCATCCTGCAATATAGAATTCATCATCCTTATATATCATATCTGTTCGTAATCACGATTCTACTACGCCTCTTATCTGGTGTAGAAATGACTCTATTCTTATTTAGCCTTAGACGTTTAACAGCCTTCTGAAGCTCTTTGGTTCGTATACAAAGGGCTGTAGTCTTATCTTATTGCCTATACTGATGGCAGTATACCATATTCGATTTAAAACGGGCCAGGTCCTTATCAGAGGACGTAACCAATTCACCTGTTTGTAATATACAAGTTCTCAAACTGTACACCTGTATGTATTTGACTTAATGTTTACGAATATTACAAATTTTACGTTTGCAATGATAACAAATATAAAAACTTATAACCTCAAGAACCTGAAGAGGACTTATTGAAAAGAATGTTCTTCGTTCTGACTTTTAATTTATTGTTTAATCAAGTTCCTGTGGTTTATACTGTGATGAAGTATTGACTTCGAGTAAATGAAACCAAATGACTGTTATACGATCAGACAGCTACGGGAAAATTGAAAAGCCTTTAAAGAAATGGTTGGTTTTATGTAAAACCGAAATAAGAATGAGTGAATGTCAAATTCTAGATAAACACTAAAAGATATAGGAATTTGACGGTTCTGTTAACAATGATAAGCAGTTATATGCTGTAAGCACATCTGTAGAAAGAATTCGGATATATACCTAGTAGAATGCTACATTTAAAGCAGTTCAATTACTACACAGTACACCTTTTATGATGGCTTTCATTAGTCTTGCTCTCAACAATATAAATCAAGTATTTTTTTCCTTTACGTTCCCAGTGGAACCTAGGGCCTCAAGCTAATGGCTTTAAGTTTCTGTAGCTGTAGTGATTATTTTTACAGGATGGGGTTGCTAGGCTCATGCACAACCTTTCGTCTTTTTACGAGCATTATTTCTGGCTTAGCGAGGTAAAGGAGTGCGTCAATGGCCGGGGATCGAACCCCGGACCATGTGCATGGTCGGCGAGCGTCCTAACCGCTGTGCCACCGTCGCACAAGTATAGACAGCTTAAAAAAAGTTGAATATTCAATTACAAATCAATAAGTAAGGATAGGACACTAGTGAGTTTAGAACAATCGAATGTATGTGTGTCACGGTTGGAGCAGTATACTAACAGCGTCACCTGATCTATAGCGATGGCGAAGTAAACAGAAAGTGACAACACCGAGAGAACATTCACAAGTTCATCCGCATATATTCACCGGCGTAACAGACACATATACTGTATTGATAGAAGAACAGAGACTGATATTCTGATATACTTTTTTATAATAACAATAATCTTGTTTAAGTTATTTCACTCAGAGCCTTTTAGTGAATGATTAATTCACACACAGATTTGTTTGTTTGAGATACACAAACCTTTCTCACCTCACTTGAACTAACAATTTGGTATCAATAAACTGAGTGATACACACGTGTTAGTAGCGTGACAAGTGATTTGGAAGCGACATTTGAGACTGTAAGCGGTCGGGTAAATAACATAACGACATCCACGGAGAATAGCGACAGATTCAAGACATGAACTGTCTTACATCATCAATATAAACAACGATTTTCAGTAGAAGCATTTGTCGTCTAATCATATTCTATTAAAAGTATTAGTAGTCGTCATAGTAGTAGCGACTGTTTTACTGATGGTCAAATCGCTTTTCATATACACAGACGCAAATGGAATTCAGTCGACAGGTAGACAGATATGCAGAAAGCAAGTTCTCCTTCTTTAGCATCTTATGGATTCTTATGGACAGAAAGAAGGAGAAAAAAATGCCATTCCTATACACACAGACACAAGAAATTGCGAAGTACAAAGATAAATAAACTAAAGGAAAAAAATTAAACGAAATAAACAAAGCCAAGCCAAAGAAAAAAATTAATAAATAAACAACACAGAATGACTAATGTACTTCACATTATCTTTTCTTTTTCTCTCAAGCAACATACACATGTATATGTACCTACGATGATGGAAATGAAGAATTTAAGAGGCTAGAGAAAATATAAAAAGCAGACGGGAATTTTTAAAAAGAACTGACTTACAAAGAAAAAGCACATTTTTGTAATGAAAAAAAGAGAATTTTGACCAACAAGAAATTAATCAGAGAGTAGTGCAAATAATAATAATAATAATAGTAATCAAACATTTAAAATGAGTGTAAAAGTTGATAATACAAAGAACCGGGGGAGCGAGGGAGGAATAGTAGTAATACACGTGCCTATAAGTCACTTTGTTAAAGAGTCTACAAAATAAAATAAAAACTCACTGTGTAACACCTATTCATCAATAAGCAATAATATTATTGTATGAATGTACAGACACTGGACTTGTTTAGATAAATTATTACATATGTATTTATGTCGGATAAACGAATATGTATGATTGATAGGGAAGTAAGGTAAGCTATTAAGCATCGGTGTATCCCTTTAAGAGAAGCAACACATATTGTTTATTGCAGCAGTAAGGCAGAGAGAAAGCTGGACTTAAAAAGTGTACAAGATTCATACACACACACACACGCATACACGTCTTATTTGTGTGTGAATTTTTCACATGAAGAGAAGAAATAGTTGCACAAAACAAAGATCCAATAGAGAAAATTAGCCACATAGACAATTTACTTTTGCTATTCTTAAAAGAGAAGAGAAATGCTGTATTATCACCATGGTAGGGAGGGGTATAGCATAGGAACTATGCAATTTATTAAGTACAGTACAGACATAAGCTAAGAATTAATTAATTAGTAAAGAATTAAAGTAGAGTATTGATGCATCGGAAAAAAATCAAGACAGCAGGCATAATATATAGGTAAACAAAAAGACGTGAACACCGGATATTACAGGTGAAGGATACACGCATATCTATTAAATTCTAACATACGGCTATTTATTGTATCTCTAACAGTTTTACCAACACACAACCAATAATACTTCTTAAAAGTACTTGAAAGGAATGAGAATTAAATGAATTTTTTACAAACAAATTAACGAGCACCCACGCAGATAGACGAAGAGGAGCAGGCAGATTGAAAGCGAACAGATAAAATTATCAGCAATTATGAAGGCGGGGGAGGGGGAATTCGGGATATTGCATTGTCTTATGAAATAAGAAAAGTGATCATATTGGACGATGAATAATTTGCTTTAATTCAGCTTTGTTAACAAAAATCATTTTTCTTTTTTAATCAGATGCCTAGACTTATTTCCCAAAAGCGCATATATAAGGAGAAGTGTTAGGAGTTTACTCACTCCAAACACACACACACACGAACGAACGAACAAATCAACAAAAGTATAAAGTGCATACGCACTGTTGAAGAAACCTAAGAGCTTTTACAAGATTGTACACTTTTTTCTTCGTTTATGTTTTGTAACTTGTTTTGGATATTGTATACTAGCCAATTGAGATCGACGAATTTCTCGACCTATTTCAATAAATACCTTGAAAAATATGAATAAAACAGAAAATTTCGGACAGATAAGTAATTAAAACAATATCTCATTTAATGTACTATAGGCAAGTAAAAATAAAACATAAACACACACACACACACACACACAGAAAGTAACATTGAAGTATGTACCAGTTCCGGATCAAAACTTTTGAAACGTATAAAGCTTCCTGGTTAATGTTCATGAAGAGTTGGGAGTTGATATCTCAAGAAACTGCAGATAAAATGATTGCTTTTGAAGAGCTACACATATTCACTTAATTTAGAGTAGTTTCTCACTACATTTATGGATTCCTTGCACATAGCTTGAGTATCTTTTATCTTCATATCTTGCCTAAACATTTGACACAAGGTGTCACAGTCTATACGGCACACGAAAGGTAGCAAAAAAATAATAAAAATACGAAGAAACTATAATACAAACAATGAGAAAGAATAATCCCATAAAGGATAATAAGGATTTGATAGAACTAGGAGAGCTCAAGCAGAGTGAATGCGTCAGCATCACTGAGAACGATCTTGATTCATGTCACCAACAACTTGGTTCTTAGCACCTCGAGGACCCCAGACAACCGTGACTCAAACTAACAGTCAAGACTTTATTTAATGATGCTACGTTCTCATAACTCTTTCCCAACTTAACACTGCTTGATGAAGGAGGTAAACTGTCTGTCTGTTTCTGACATAGAACTTTGCACATATGTGCAGCAGTTCAAGCCGCCACACTCCTTCCTTGCAGCACACATGAAAAGACTAGCTGCCTTTGATCATAGGTGCCTGCGTTCTATTTCCCGTGTAAAGTGGCATAATAAGGTGAGCAACATGGAGGTTAGGCGTCGAGTTCTAGGTAAACAGGGGAAATCAATCGACGAAGTCGTGAAGCTACATCGACTGAGATGGTTAGGACATGTGTTACGTATGCCAAGTCATCGCCTCCCTCGACGAGCTATGTTAGCGGATATAGGGTCAGGCTGGAAAAAAGCTAGCGGCGGTCAAACAAAAACTTGGCATCAGTCAATGAAATCCACAACAGTTGGTCTTAGCCACGTAGGAAGGTGTAGACTTCCAGGCTGGGGTCCTCGGGACGGCAAAAATCTATGGTTGGAAACAATTGGTGACATGGCTCAAAATCGTTCTCAGTGGCGCAGATGCATCCACTCCTTGTGATTTATGATCTCCAATGAAACTGTTTTGTATTTCTTTATTACTCCTTTGTCTCACACCTCTGCTCACTGTTTCTATTATGCTTTTCTTGTACTTTCTTCTCTTGCTTGCTTCGCGTGCTACACGGAATGTGGCGACTTGAACTTCCGCACATTTGTGCAAAGTTCTATGTCGAAAACAAACAGACAGACAGCACACAAACCAAGAGAAGAAAGTAGAAGAAATGCACAATAGAGACAGTAAACAGAAGAGTGAGACAAAGGAATAGAAATAACGAAGAACAAAACAGTTTCATTGGAAATCATAAGTCACAAGGAGTGGATGCATCTGCACCAGCCAGCCATTGAGAACGATTTTGAGCCATGTCACCAATTCTTTCCAACCATTGATTTTTACCGTCCCGAGGACCCAAACCAGGAAGTCTACACCTTCCTATGTGACTTGAACTAATTCTTGTGGATTTCATTGACTGGTGCTATGTTTTTGTTTGACCTCCGCTAGCTCTTTTCCAGCCTGACCCCCTATATCAGCTAACATTGACTGTCGAGGAAGGTGATGACTAGGAATACGTAACACACGTCCTAACCATCTCAGTCGATGTAACTTCACAGCTTCGTCGATTGACTTCCCCTGTTTACCTAGAACTCGACGCCTAACCTCAATATTGCTCACCTTATTATACCACTTCACAAGGAAGGAGGTAAACTGGCCTCGATAAGATAATTTTATTAATAAGAGGAAAAGAAATGTGGAAATCGATTGTAATTTTGCACAGAACATTCATTTTACTATATATATTTTTTATTAGTTGTTAACACAGAATGATAATTTTTTCTCAATTTCGGTAAGTTTACTTAACACAAAATCTAAACAAAAACATTGTAGCACTGTATGTAAACAACTATTAAAACATAGTTATGATAAATCGATTCATTTAACAATGCACAAACTTTTCACATACGTTATTCATATGGATAGTAAATGCAACAATAATCACAGAAAACACTAAAATAGTTAGTCTTCAGTTTGCAGAAATAGTTAATAGATTTGTAGAGGCACATGAATTTGTTATACACTTGGATAATATCACACTAACTGTCTAGGTCCATCCTTGAAGCAATCATAGATAATAATTTCCCCCCCCCCCAACATACGGTCTGGTACGGCGCCAAAGGTAGGGGTAGACTTCAGTTATCTCGAAATTCTTTTATATGGTCACGCGTTCATAGCCTCCGCCAGGTAAGCCCTGCTCATTGCCTTCAAGCGGCGTAGGTACTCCTCACAAAAGTGAAAGGGTGAATGCCGACGTCTGGGGCTTAGGAGAGGCGGCACATACAAGCCTACCAAGGTGAGCTGTAAAACACTGTGCGTCGGTGGCATAGTGGTTAGGACTCTCGCCGATTATGTACATGGTCCGAGGGTCGATCTGCTGCCGACACACACTTGATATCTATGGTCGGCCTGCGAAATTTGGGCTACCGATATCACATGCTGAAAATTCCAAACCTGTACCAAAAATACGGTGTGGAATCAAGCTGTAATAACAAAAGATCCCAAACCTATGGTGTACATCAGCTCCAGAATCCGAAAGGTCCGAATAGCTCATGAACCTGTTTGGGTCATCAGTAACCATGGGAACGCAGATCCACTGCATTGTGAGTCAGACTTCGAGTCAAAGGGCAGGTGTGGTTCCTTAAAACAACCAACTAGTTCAGACTGGGCGTTCAGGCAGTATTCCAACTTTCAAACAAACTATCAGGTTTTGTGTGGCGCCCTTCCTGATGCCCATAATGTGCCAAGTTTCCGTTGTAATAATAATAATAACAGACAGATATAAAAAGTTTATCATAGCAGTTGAAATTCACCTCTTATGGTATTTTCATATTTAATTGTTGGATAATTCATGCTTTACCCAGAAGCCTACTGATTATTTTATAGCATACAAATTAAGCGAAAAAAAATCCTGATAGAATACAGCCTTGTTAAAATTGTTTCCATCTTTAATCAGCAAAACGGTATTTATCACACCCACAATTCGTAAAACAGCATGCACTTAATAGTCACTAAATGAATTATGACTTTGATCAACTTGACCTAAAGTTTCTAATTACGAAGCATCAGATGCATTGAGAAAATCGATGGTAAACACTTCGAGTAATGGAAATGTATGACCGTTCGTGTTAATATAACACTTGCATAGCATATGATAGTACTAAGTCCATCTTGGATAAAAAGAGAATTGACTTGAATTATATACATAAGCTGAAATCAATATTACTGACTTGTTGATGCAAGTCGATTAGGACAATGATTCAGGTGTACTAGTGATTATTTAGTAACTGAATCACAATACGCGCTTAAAGCTCAAGTCATGAACAAGCAGCAAACGAACACAAAAAGCATTAGTTAGAGAACCATTGGAAAACCTGAGAGTACTGGGCAGTTGTTTCGTCCTAGTTTGGGACTTTTCACCAGTACGCACTCACCGCCATTCGAACCCAGGACCTTCTGGTTACAAGGCGAGCTCGTATACCACTAAGCCACTGGGACCCGATCCAGTAGGGTACAGCAGGTCGGGTGTGAGGACAAATACTCGCCGAGGACATTGGCTAGGGGTCGCGCCATGTCGTGAATTGGCAGAAGTTAGAATTCATGGGCCATTGATAAATATGCTACTGAGACACACCAAACAAAAAAGAACAAACAAAAACAGGCCGCGTGTGACCGGCCTCAAGCAGTTGTCCCCTGGGCTCTGCTGTCACGCAACCAACTTCCACAGTGTGGGCAGCCGGGAGGTAACAATCGCCCACACACTTCCAAAAGCACACGAAGCCTTCCTAAGCATCATTCTCCCGTTATCGACATATAGAATAAGATAATAAAAAAGAGATCCCATTCAAAACATAGTCCATTTATAAATGCACAGCTAAGTAGTTAAGAAAGGCAACGGAGAATATCTACCAATAAAAATTAATTAAACTTTAAAGTGAAATAATATATATATATTTTTTGATAAAATTAGATGGTTCACAACTTACCTTATCCACATTACAACACATCTTTGCCGATGTCTCCACAAAAGGTACACCCCAACATTTTGCATATTGCATACCCTGCAATGTGTAGTCTTTTTGTTTAGGATCTTTTAGATCACATTTATTAGCAACAATTAACATTGGTGGTTGTTCACAATTCTTGATACGAACTACCTGTTCACTGAAATGGTAAAAAATTATGTGTATATGGATAAAGGAATAATTACTGTGCATGTTAACTCAAAATACACAAAGCTTTCTTTCATACATTTGTAAAAACTTCTTCAGAGGAATGAATCAAAATTAACATATATTATACAAAGGACATCTCTTGTTTTTAAAAACTTTGTCCGATCATATGAGTCATGCAACAGTCATCATGATAGAATATAATATAACCTTGTAGGTAGTGAGCATAAGATTGATATTAATACAGCACTTAAAATTATCTATCGCATTCCTACTAATCTTAGTTTTTCTCCACGAGTTCGTCTTCTACATACAGCCGAAGCAATGAGAATCCACCTGAAGAACAAACCAAACTTGTGTGTTCAGAAGAAATTTGTACAGCCACTTTCCTTGTCTTGGCCATCATTACACGAATGTCTAAACCGGATTACTTCGTCCCCCTTCCCCCTAAACCTTTGAAATTATAAAAATTATGATTGTCCAAATTATTTTATTTTTTCTGACCACTTCATCTTTAATAATGTGTTATCCTTGTAAAATTAATTTATTCTAACCATTTCTACCTTTTAACTGTGTGTATTGATTTTCTTCGTTAATTATCAACCCATCAACATATTAACTGACACTGACTAATTATTGTTAACAAACATATCAGTGCCACTTAATTGGTAAACTGTTGTGTATTGTAATAAAAATGCTCTACGTGTATATTAGAGTAGAGCCAGAGCTCAGGATCTAATTGAAAAGTGAATATTTCCTTGCTCAATCTTTCTCTTTTATAAATATCTAAATGGGGATTTTTTTCTATATAAACAAAATTGTATGAGCTGTGATCGAAATTTGACCTTAGACTTATAAATATTAGTGTTTTGCAATGGATGATGCTGGATTTCTATTAAGATTAATCGCGTTGGGATTTTCGATATGATTTACTAGCCATTTTGGAATATGTTCTTTTCGACGACATTGGAACATTCTGTTAGTTCTACCTATATAGGTGTCACCGCAGCTGCAGGTGAACTTGTAGATACAGTTTGAAGTAGAGTCCACAGAATTTCGTCCTTTAATCGTAGGAACAGGGATCGAAAATGTTCGGCAAGTGAGAAAAAGAGATGCGGCGTAGAATGTGCGTTTGATGGCTGATCGAAGTCTTTGAGTTGTCAACTGCATAATCTGGTCGCCCTTGAATGGTAGATTAATAAAGATGGCTTTCTTTGGTACAGAAGCTGTCTTTTCGAGATGTGGTTTTTCTTTGCTGTGACAAGTGATAAAGCTCTCCGGATAACCATTAGCTAATAAAACTGAATGTACATGTCGAAGCTCATCCATCAGTGTGTCACTCGTGCATATTTTTCGGGCCCTTGAGAACAAACATTTCACTAGGGAACGTTTATACTGGATAGGAACAAAACTGGTAAAATGAAGATATTGTCCAGTCCATGTTTGTTTACGAAAAATAGAGCGCTGAATCGTTCCATCATTTCTCCTAGTCATAGTAATATCCAGGAAACCAAGTTTGTTATTCGATTCTAGTTCGGAAGTCACTCGAATATTTGGATGAATATGATTAAATAGAGTAATGAAGTTTTCAATAGATTCACTATTATTACCAATAATAAGAGTATCATCTACATAACGTTTATACAGCATAAATCCTCCAAGCATACCTTGCATTTGTTTCTCTAATTTCGACATAAATATATCTGCTAACAGGGGCCCCAGAGGGCTCCCCATCGCAACACCATCGATTTGTTTATATGCCTTTTCTTGGAATGTGAATCTAATATTTTCTGTACACATTAAGATTATGTCTTTGATGTAAGTGACGGGAATGGGTAAGTTTATGCCATTGCTTGTGATGTAATCGCAAATAAAATCAACAGTTTCATGAAGGGGAACATTGGTGAATAAAGATTCTATGTCAATTGAACACATAACCTTTTCCTTAATGTTCAAGGTGTCCAGCATTTCTGTAAGATCAAATGAACTTTTTACAGAATGATTTGATAATGAGTCTCTTACAGGCGTAAGGACCTCTGTAATCCATTTGGCGATTTTATGATAAGGAGAATTTGACATGTCTAAGATGGGTCTCAGTGGGTTCCCAGTTTTGTGGATCTTCGGAAGACCATAAAGCTGAGGAGTATGTGACCCAATTGGTTTAAGTTGTTTATAAAGTTTTTCATTTATAAAACCATGCATCAGTAAAATCTGAAGCTGTCGATTGATCTGCTTTTCCACAAGCAGCACGTTATCAGTAGCATTGTCCAGCAGAAATTTGGACTGATCTTTGAGGATATCGTTCATTTTATTTTGATAATCCGATTTGTTCATAATGACAACGCCTTCTCCCTTATCAGGTTTAAGGATCACAAGATTATCTTTTTCGATTAATTCCTTAAGTGCGGCGTGGTGTTCTTTTGATAAACCATTTTTCTGGTGTATTCTAGCATTTAGAAATTGATGAGAAATGTCCACCAGTTTAACTTTAAACCAGTCCAGATTATCTTTATTAGAGGGAGTTAAATCAGAGATTTGGTCATACAGGTTTTCATACTGTGACTGGACTTCCATTTTGTTAATTTTCATGGGAATAGTTTTGTACTTCATTCCATAAGATAATGCTTCCAACTGTAGTTGGGATAGAGTGCATGTAGATAAATTAATTATATGTTTGTGGATATCTTGAGGAAATTCCAAAGTATGATTTGAGTCTTTCAAAGATTTTGTTAATTTTTCTTCGGTAGAACTTATGGTCTTTTTTACCATATCATTGCAAAATACTGTGAATTTAATTCGACATACTAAAGATAAATTATCCAAAACGGGATTTAGTCTTTGGTGTGTTTCAATAAATTTCGAAAGTTTGTCATTAATTTCATCAATTTCTAATTCAGCAAGATGCTGAAGGTTGGAGAGTGAAGATTTTGACTTATTCCGACGTAGTGATTTGTAAAATGATATAGGATAATGTTTATTTTCTATGCAGTTGCGATAAAACCTTAATCGTTCACGCTGAATTACAATTTTACATCTCAGATTTAGAAGACGGTTCAGAAGTCTTATAGTATCTTTCGGGAGCCTTCGTTTGAGAAAATTAAAACAAATAGTCCCTTTGATAAATTTGAACAAGGCATTAAGAAGACAAATTGTTCAAATTTATCAAAGGGACTATTTGTTTTAATTTTCTCAAACGAAGGCTCCCGAAAGATACTATAAGACTTCTGAACCGTCTTCTAAATCTGAGATGTAAAATTGTAATTCAGCGTGAACGATTAAGGTTTTATCGCAACTGCATAGAAAATAAACATTATCCTATATCATTTTACAAATCACTACGTCGGAATAAGTCAAAATCTTCACTCTCCAACCTTCAGCATCTTGCTGAATTAGAAATTGATGAAATTAATGACAAACTTTCGAAATTTATTGAAACACACCAAAGACTAAATCCCGTTTTGGATAATTTATCTTTAGTATGTCGAATTAAATTCACAGTATTTTGCAATGATATGGTAAAAAAGACCATAAGTTCTACCGAAGAAAAATTAACAAAATCTTTGAAAGACTCAAATCATACTTTGGAATTTCCTCAAGATATCCACAAACATATAATTAATTTATCTACATGCACTCTATCCCAACTACAGTTGGAAGCATTATCTTATGGAATGAAGTACAAAACTATTCCCATGAAAATTAACAAAATGGAAGTCCAGTCACAGTATGAAAACCTGTATGACCAAATCTCTGATTTAACTCCCTCTAATAAAGATAATCTGGACTGGTTTAAAGTTAAACTGGTGGACATTTCTCATCAATTTCTAAATGCTAGAATACACCAGAAAAATGGTTTATCAAAAGAACACCACGCCGCACTTAAGGAATTAATCGAAAAAGATAATCTTGTGATCCTTAAACCTGATAAGGGAGAAGGCGTTGTCATTATGAACAAATCGGATTATCAAAATAAAATGAACGATATCCTCAAAGATCAGTCCAAATTTCTGCTGGACAATGCTACTGATAACGTGCTGCTTGTGGAAAAGCAGATCAATCGACAGCTTCAGATTTTACTGATGCATGGTTTTATAAATGAAAAACTTTATAAACAACTTAAACCAATTGGGTCACATACTCCTCAGCTTTATGGTCTTCCGAAGATCCACAAAACTGGGAACCCACTGAGACCCATCTTAGACATGTCAAATTCTCCTTATCATAAAATCGCCAAATGGATTACAGAGGTCCTTACGCCTGTAAGAGACTCATTATCAAATCATTCTGTAAAAAGTTCATTTGATCTTACAGAAATGCTGGACACCTTGAACATTAAGGAAAAGGTTATGTGTTCAATTGACATAGAATCTTTATTCACCAATGTTCCCCTTCATGAAACTGTTGATTTTATTTGCGATTACATCACAAGCAATGGCATAAACTTACCCATTCCCGTCACTTACATCAAAGACATAATCTTAATGTGTACAGAAAATATTAGATTCACATTCCAAGAAAAGGCATATAAACAAATCGATGGTGTTGCGATGGGGAGCCCTCTGGGGCCCCTGTTAGCAGATATATTTATGTCGAAATTAGAGAAACAAATGCAAGGTATGCTTGGAGGATTTATGCTGTATAAACGTTATGTAGATGATACTCTTATTATTGGTAATAATAGTGAATCTATTGAAAACTTCATTACTCTATTTAATCATATTCATCCAAATATTCGAGTGACTTCCGAACTAGAATCGAATAACAAACTTGGTTTCCTGGATATTACTATGACTAGGAGAAATGATGGAACGATTCAGCGCTCTATTTTTCGTAAACAAACATGGACTGGACAATATCTTCATTTTACCAGTTTTGTTCCTATCCAGTATAAACGTTCCCTAGTGAAATGTTTGTTCTCAAGGGCCCGAAAAATATGCACGAGTGACACACTGATGGATGAGCTTCGACATGTACATTCAGTTTTATTAGCTAATGGTTATCCGGAGAGCTTTATCACTTGTCACAGCAAAGAAAAACCACATCTCGAAAAGACAGCTTCTGTACCAAAGAAAGCCATCTTTATTAATCTACCATTCAAGGGCGACCAGATTATGCAGTTGACAACTCAAAGACTTCGATCAGCCATCAAACGCACATTCTACGCCGCATCTCTTTTTCTCACTTGCCGAACATTTTCGATCCCTGTTCCTACGATTAAAGGACGAAATTCTGTGGACTCTACTTCAAACTGTATCTACAAGTTCACCTGCAGCTGCGGTGACACCTATATAGGTAGAACTAACAGAATGTTCCAATGTCGTCGAAAAGAACATATTCCAAAATGGCTAGTAAATCATATCGAAAATCCTAACGCGATTAATCTTAATAGAAATCCAGCATCATCCATTGCAAAACACTTATTAATGTCTGGTCACAAAATAAATATTAATGACTGTTTCACAATTATAAATATTGGTCTACTTTTGTTAAACACTTTAAACAGTATACTTTTCATTAGAATTCCAACGATTTGTATCTGGATTGGAGAGGCAATGCCGGATATGCCCACCAGTAAAGTTTCAAAGGGAAGATGACTACAGAACAGACTATACGGTATTATTACTAATCGCGTTATTACAACTTCGGTTGTGCAGCCTTAGAAAACTACTCTACATGGAGTATTTATTTTACGAAGGCCTTGAAATCAACTGTTGGTGAAGAAAGCCTCAGAGGGTAAAGTGTGGATACAGTACTATTCTTATAAACAAACGCAAAAGTTACACACGGCTGTTAATTTTTTTTGCAGCTTTCCTATTGCAAGCAATTTGTCAACAATCTGAAGGTGTGTTTGATAGTGTATATCTTTTACCCGTAGAAATTCTATAGGAACTTGAGTATACAGATATAATATGATCCTCGAGTGTGATAAAATATTGGTTATCAAAATTATGCCCAGTCCCTTCAGTGATTAGTGACTGAAACTTTTCACTCCTAAAATACTACAAGGTGTCTTTGCAAGATTAGCAGGAACTTTCAACCAATTAATCGCACATATTATTGTAAGATGAAACAGACAATTTTTCAGTACTAAACATTTTTTATGGCTAATTTAGCTGCGAACAGCCGAAGATTTACTGGAATTATCAGAAATCTCATTTACATGCGGTCAGTTGATGAATTAAATCGTTTCGACTGAAATTAAGAGGTTAGTTTAAATCTAAGCTTTTCGACATCGACATACGTATGCCCGTTTGAAAAAAAACAAATAGACAGATACCATGCCTGAAAGGAATGCGCTTAAATGTCTACATCTTAGCGTTAAAATTGACTGAATTAGGGCTGATAAAGAGTCTGGTTTTGTTACGGTGAATGCGAAAAGATATGCGCACAGAATGTAACTGAATTTCTAGAGCTTAAAGTTGATAAATTTCTAAGATGTGAAACGCTATTAACTGAAAACAAAGCGAGTGAATACCCTAAGAAACTATCAAAAACGGTTTGACAGATAGTTGAGTTTATAATGACCATATACCAAGACGTCCACGTTAACCGATAGGACGAAAATTCATAAAGCGAAATTTCCTTCGAGAACGCATTCTTTATTACACATTGGTTCGTTGGTTGTCACAGTATTAGAACCTACCAAAGAAAGGTTGAGAGCGTATAATCTGAAAGTCATTCTTTCAAGAAATAGATTAGTTAACGATCATTCATTATAAACGAAAATACTAATGAACGAGAGTAGAGACGAAAATTGTCAGTAGCTTGATCTACAAAAAAATTAGTAATGCTTTGTTGTGTAAAGGTGTACTCAGCCGAGCTTTAATGACCAGCTGTATAGACAAACTGACAAATTTGCAAGTGTCAGCACTACTACTCATTCCGGTTGATATTTTCAAGGTTAGTCTTTGAAAAAACCGACACGAATTGTATGATTAAAGAAACATTACATCAACATCATATGTAGGCTGATACTACAAGCAACTTATTTAATAGTTATGAATTCTTATGTGAAAAGTGTTACAATGTGAAAATGAAAGCAAATGTAGCAAAACGGTACTCAGTAGAACTTCGTTTCACACTTCAGTATTCCTAACGACGGAATAATGATGTCCCAGAACAGCATGAAAGTAAAATAGATGGTCCTAGAGGACGTCTTAATTGCAGATCACCTTAGTTTCTACGACAAAAAAGTCAGTTTTTTTTAATTTTCATTTAGGTCACACACTAAGTGATTTTTGTCTGTCTGTGAAACAAATATCAACAAAAATACTGTGCTAATCGACGCTCCCTAGTGATGCTCATACAGCTACATAGGTTAGTTAGAACTCGATTATCTGGGACAAATTTTCACTGTACCAGAGACTATTAGTCACAAAAATAGTGTGGGGCCGATAGTACTATGCATCTGGAGTAGGATTTGAACCCAAGACCCATTGGCTGAAAGTCCCTCACTATGTAAGAAGTGTGAAACAAATTCCGAAGGTAGAATAATAAAAAAAAGTGGTCACAGGTTATTTTCACCTAAGAGTAATAGAATAATATATTGAGTAACGTTGAAATTAGACGTAGCGTTAGGTAAGGAAGATAATTTGACCAAAGTGACTGGAAGTCTTCACCAATGGAACTGACTTGAATGTGTTACCCAAGTGAAGATCGGTAAGATTAGGCTTGGCTAGACTATGGTGTTAAGATACAGTGGTTGGGTATTCTTTAGAATATAGCCTGATAAATAATACACCCTTACAGCTTTCAGAAAGTTAGGCATTCTAACCAGCTGTAACTTGATTATCACCTTTTTCCACACTAATTTTTTTCTATAGCCGTAGTTTTAGCTCATTAGTTCTTCTAGATAGTTCATTTTGAATCGGACTCATTAATTCGAATTCCATAAAACATGCGAGGTTTGCAAAGACAACTAGTATCGCCAATCCCAATGCAATAAATGTAAGTCAATACCAGTTATATGAAGTCTTAAGGACCGTTGAGTAGCACTTCATTCATCTTTTGCTTTTGTTCAATTCTTCCTGGTACCGTGTCTGAAAGTATGACAGGTTAACAGACGTAATCCTGTGCAAAGTTCTAGAGTTGAAATAATAGAGAAGATTTGTAGCTCAGGTGGATGATTTGCAATTAATAATGTTCTCTGAGCTGGTTGGTTTAGTTGCGGAGCTATCGTCGTCCGAGAGACGCAGTTATATCACTCATGAAGAAATTTAAATCATTTCACTTTATGCTAAATATTGCGCTGACGATGTTGTCCAGAAGGACGACGAAAGCTCCGCAACTAAACCAACCAGATCAGAGAAAACTATTAATTGCAAAGTTCTAGAATGTTTTGTTCGTCTATCTGTTTATTGGATATAACAGGATTATTGCTGGTAGAAATAAAATTACATTTGTTTATACAACATGAAAGGTTTACTTAGTAACTGTGAGTAACTGAAGAAAGTTAAAAACATGATTTAAGCAAGCAATTAATAAACTCGAGAATTCTTCTTAATTCATACACTTACTGAAACATCGGTAGAGCACGTAAAGATTCTTCGTCATCAATAGCATACACCAGAAGAAAACCCTCACTACTTCGAAAATAGTAATCTCGGATACCGTTATAATCTTCCTGACCTGTTCATAGTTTTTTTTCGGAGAAAAAGAACCATAGATTGCAAAATTCATTGAGCAAAAGGCAAATAAGACAATGATGACAATAAGCAGGAGAATTATTAGATTTTACATAAAAGAAATGTGAATACTTTTCTGAGACTTAAAATCCCTTAATAAGAAGTAAGTGATTAGGATAGTTGCAGTCAATAACAGATGAATATTGCCACTACAACTGTATGCAGAACTTCTGCTATTACCAGTTATAATATATATATAATTTCCTTTAATTCCTAGAGGAACATAGGGCTTCAGCTGCACGTCTCCATTGCGTTCGGTTCTCTGCCAACGTTTTCACCCCGCTCCAAGTCAGCCTACACGCTTTCATCTCCTCTTCACATGACGTCCTCTAAGTCACCTTTGCACTGACGACCAACTCGCTGCTTCCCATTCGGGTTCCACTCGAGCAATGGCTTGTCTAGTGATGTCACTTGATGGTTTCCACAGAGTATGGCCAATCCATCTCCATTTCTTCCTGCCTATTTGTCGCACAATCGGTTCCTGGTTGGTTCGCTCCCAGAGATTCAGTAGAAAAACTGGATCTCGTCTTTCCAATTCGTATCTTTACAGGTACAACGTTCTCTTTCTTTTGCTTTTCTCTCTTTTATATGCTGCTTTGTTTCTTTCTTATGCTAATGCCAGTAAATATGCTATAACCTACTTTTCCAACACCTAACACTGTTTAATTTTGGCTTTGCTACCGACATGCTAAAATGTTGTTGTCAAAACTAACTGAGATAACCTTAATCTATGTAGAACTTTATTTATTGTTAATGTACTAACTGGATGCAATATTGTAGTAAAATGGTGAGAATTCCATTCTGTATCACAAGTACTGTTTTGGAATAAAGCTACTATTATCTTATCTTATCTTGCTAATCTTTTCTGGCCATCTGATCTTGAGTAGTACTGAGCGAAGACAGCTGTTAATGAAGGTCTGTGGCTTTTTTGAGGTGCTCTTTATGAAGCGCTAAGTCTCTGATCCGTATAGCAGCACTGACTTCACATTGGAGTTGAAAATCCGGATCTTATTATTGATGCTGAGTGCTGTTGACCTCCACACAGACTTGGGAGTAATGAAAGCTTGTCTTGCTTTCCCGATCCTTGCTTTAATATCCTAATTAGTTCTGTCCGTCTGCAGTTGAAACGATGTTTCCCAGGTCGGTAGGTAAAGGATTTCTCCCATTTATGCTGATTATTGTCTGTTGTTGTTGTTGCTGTTGGCCAGGAATCTTCATCACTCCTGTTTTCTCTATGTTCACCTGAAGTCCTATCTTTGATGCTAATCACTTGCATATATATATATATATATATATGCCTATGAAATTTTTTAAACAATCTTTAGGGAGAAGGCTATACACCGGACACAAAGCTCAACTAGTTTTTTAATACAAAGAATTAAAGCAGTTAGAGTACACAATTTGTGACATCAAACGCCAATTACGGAAGAAATTCAACACATTTTCGAGATGTTAATAACGACAGTAGGTACTGAATGAATTCTCAAAAACAAACAACCTGTAGTTTTTTGTGGGTGATATATATATATATATATATATATATATATATATATATATAGTGTGTGTGTGTGCATGCTGGACTAGTTTTAAAGTAAGAAGCTGATTCGCAATGACGGTACATATATTGTTTGGCATGCGACTCGCTCCCGCCAAATGCAAGATGATGTTACAGGACTGGACTACATCGACGCCTTGTTTAAAAATAGGAAGTGAAGTGGTAGAGCACATTGACCGCTTCACTTATTTGGGAAGTACCATCAGCCCCAACGGGGTGGTCTCTGACGAAATCTCAGCACGAATACAGGGGGCTAGTTTCGCATTTGCCAGTTTATGCCGACTCTGGCGTAGACGAGATGTTCGACTATCGACCAAAGGGCGGGTATACTGCCCATCAGTCCGCTCCGTCCTCCTTTATGGTTGTGAGACCTGGCCACTGAGAGTGAAAGACATGAAAAGACTAGCTGTCTTTGATCATAGGTGTCTGCGCTCTATTTCCCGTGTAAAGTGGCATAATAAGGTGAGCAACATTGAGGTTAGGCGTCGAGTTCTAGGTAAACAGGGGAAATCAATCGACGAAGCTGTAAAGTTACATCGACTGAGATGGTTAGGACATGTGTGTTACGTATGCCAAGCCATCGCCACCCTCGGCGAGCAATGTTAGCGGATATAGGGTCAGGCTGGAAAAAAGCTAGCGGCGGTCAAACAAAAACTTGGCACCAGTCAATGAAATCCACAACAGTTGGTCTAAGCCACGTAGGAAGGTGTAGACTTCCAGGCTGGGGTCCTCGGGACAGTAAAAATCTATGGTTGGAAACAATTGGTGACATGGCTTAAAATCGTTCTCAGTGGCGCAGATGCATCCACTCCTTGTGATTTATGATCTCCAATGAAACTGTTTTGTTCTTCGTTATTACTCCTCCTTTGTCTCACACCTCTGCTCACTGTCTCTATTATGCTTTTCTTGTACTTTCTTCTCTTGCTTCGCGTGCTACACGGAATGTGGCGACTTGAGCTGCTGCACATTTGTGCAAAGTTCTATGTCGAAAACAGACAGACAGACATATATTGTCAGAGTTAAGGATACTGACAATAAACTTGTAGAGAAATCACTAGTTGTTTTCAGCTAAAATCACATAAGGAATGTGTTACAATCAAGCATGTTAAAAGGGCGGCAATACTCGGAAAAAAAACAGACGATGAAGAATTGTAAAGTCTAGCGACTGAACATCGAGGTAAAAGATAGTAGAAAAAGTGTACAAGCTAAGTGAAATATAAGTCAGTATGAGTTGTCACATGCTACAGCAATACAAAAAATGACCACTTTAAAGTAAAATGAATGGAAAAACTCAACATTTAATACACAGCGAAGGGTAAGTACGTATCTGTAACCTGGATGTTTTTACTTGTTACTGAGTGGTTGAGCTGCTTACTAATAATGCCTCGGAGATAATACAACAATATCTAGTCTTCTTTAGATACGCATCTTTACAAACAGTGATTAGACAGATACACTGAGATATCACAACCTTTAGCTTAAGCACGAGTTTTACCAAGGCAGCTTCTGTAGATAATATCAGTGAACGCAACCCTTGAATCTATCTAAAATGAATATTCTATCATGATGGAGCTATCCCTTACTACTATGGGTTTAAACACAAAACATTTTTATTTAGTGACAAGACACACAGAGGTATAACTAAACTAATAAGTGTCTAGAATATTTTGTTTAAAAGAACATAGCTTCCTCAAGAAAATACCGTCCACGAGCGTTGAACTATGTGTTTACGGGAGTTAAATGCTTTCCAAATTTGAGATCAGTTCATAAAATTGAATAGCACAAGTAAGCGTGTTGTGGGACACAAAAAGCCAAATCTCAATCTGTGCACGTGCATGCGTATTTTTAAGTCTCCCTAAACCATTAAGAAAATGCCCAGCAACAATGAAGCCAAGCAGACAGAAAATAGTCCCGAAGTTACTGAAATTAAACACGTAAAAACTTTTGGAAAACATACAACCAGTACATCGTTTTGAATGGAATAGGTGCATTACCTGCAGTGTCCAAAATATCGAATTGTATTTCCTCACCGTCTAAACGTTCTTTTTTCCTGTATGAATCGGCTTTCGTAGGTTCATAGTCCTCAACAAACTAAATAAGTTGGAATGTCAAAACGCAAATAAAGCAATCACCTCATCATACATAAACTGGAGAGTTAAAGCACTCTTACCAACTCCACCAGATCCAATTATGGCAATCCTTAAGACGGGTAGCTGCTGCTGCATTGGTTCAAATAATTAGAGGGATGCTTAGGAGAAAAACTATCCTAAGAGTGAAAAATACCAATGAATAGATTATTACATGGAAATGTGAGACATACAGTAAATAATTCATAAATAAACAGATGCTTTGCCAATGCTAAGAAGAAATTGTGTGGTCTATCTATTGGTGCCAATATTGTACCAAGTTGCAAATAAACAGATAAGTAATCCACACGGAGAAGCGCGTATGGTTTTAACTTTCTTTGACTAAAGATAACGTCTAAAAGCTGCTAAGATAGAGAGGATTAGTAAGCAGTACACTTGCTCTTAGATAGGAATTCGATAGTAGAAAAATAACACTACTATATATTCAAACATACGATACAACGCGGACATCGAGATGAGCCACATAAAAGTAATAAATAAAAGACCAACTTTAATCTCAATCATTTCGACTGAAATGTTCAACTTGGCTAGTAGTTATAGGAATATTTATGAATATAGAACTCTGGAGCCAAAAAGGAAATCTACTGGTCTAAAGTTATAAGTTTCCGGACAGTAGATGTTACGAACTTCCCGGAATAATTTGAGCGCCGAGTCAGATTGAATCACTATAAATTATTTAAAATAATCCCGCGTTGAAGAAGCTGTGGCTTACAAAGCAAAACGTTCAGAAAAATTTTGCTTTATAAGTATAAATTTTGGGCACTGTGGTATAGTATATCTCCATTATGGATAAGAATTTATTTTGAAAAAAGTTGTGTGAGTAACTTGATATGATTATGAGCAATAGTTTGTGCTCGAAACGTTATCAGCTAATATTACTGTATAACACTGTGATTTATCAAAATAAAATCTTATCCATAATGAAAATTTTGTTTTGGTTTTCTCTTAAACACCCTGAGATTATATTAAATCATCTGTTAGTCTAAAAGCTTCACCAAAACAGTGAAACATACATGGAAAGCACCCACCAAGGAAGCTTAAACGAGTACTATTACCATGTACGATTTGACAGATGGTCTGCAACAGTCTTGTGTTGAAAACAAAGGCGCATATACTGGGGTGGATTTTAGTATATGCCTTTTACCATTCTTCAACCAGACATTATACATACAGAGACTAATTATGAATGAAATAGGCAGTTTTTTCGTCTTGACTACAGCCGAGTTCAGTTAGTTTTAGTAACTCAAACCATCTTGATAGTCAGTATAAAGATCAAAAGAATTAGTCACCTGAAGGTGATGATTGGACTTGCATATTATCATTTTTTGAGATCTTAAATTATAATTAGTGAATACGGTCAACAGTTACAGAATAACACAACCAAATGCAATTGATGTGACACCTAAAAACAAAATAACAAATTGAAATTAGACAGAAGTTGCACCGTAAAATGCTTCCTTAAGACACGGTATTTCGAACCTAGAATAAACAACTGATGTCAGAACAGCTGTGCTGCAGAAAATATAGCTGAGGAGAACAGCTTTGTTGGATTAATTGGATAGAGACAAGAAGTAGCACATAAATGCCAGAATTTCGCCCAATAATGAACAGATGAATGAGATAAAAACAAAGATGACAGTAATAAAACAAACGTTAATATGTAAGAACCCCAAGGAAAGTCTAATAACAATAATCTAAACAGTTGAGTCTGTAGTTCATGATTCGGTACAATCGGTTAACTGAGGGCACGTTTTATGAGCACTGATGATTGCTGCTTTGTAGTTAAGAAGAATAAAATACTGTCAACACGTACTAAGTGAATCAAGTGGCTTTCTGAAGTAACTACTCCTAGAATCATTGGTTAGAAGTAAAATCTAAAAGGAGTTGCATTCACTAACTATAAGAGATCGAAGTATATTCGTAAATCACTAGTTTCACCTAATACTGCAGACAAGACATGTGTCACACGATATGCTAATAAGCATAAGGCATTCATAAGTGTTCAGTTGAAACATCACGATCAAGCGAAGCGAAAGACATCTCTGACAAAGAATATAAAAATGTGGTCGTGGAGAAAAAAGTGTCACACACACGAACATACGGTAGGACCAAGAGAGTCCTATAATCGTGGTTGACCCAAACACTCCCACGCCTTTATGTAAATGACATTAAAAAAATAAGACTTAGCATTGCTGTAAAACAGCTTTAGTTGGCACTGTTTGAACATGTCCATTAAATAAAAGTGGGAATGAAGATGAAAATATAATTAGAGTTAACTGAATGTTATAAAAGACAGGAATAAAAAATAACGACGAATTCGAAGATATTTCTATTAGCCCATTATGGATAAGGTTCTATTTTGATAAATCACAGTGTTATACAACCATATTAGCCGATGACGTTTCGAGCACAAATTATTGCTCATAATCATACCAAGACTTGATATGATTAAAAATAATAAAATAACAAATAATAAAATCTTATTTATAATGGATTTATACTCTACCACAGTGCCCAAGTTCTATACTTATATCAATATTTCCATTAGACTGGTGCAGATCGCTTGTTATACCAGTTAATAAGGCGACAAGTCTTCGTGTAACAATTACAAGTGGAACCGCTTCGCTAAAGTAACCTCTAAGACCCACATGAACTAAGTAAAACACGGGAAAAAAGCCGCGAAACATAAGAATTCATGCCTAAATGAGGTTGCGTTGACTGAACCGTTTCTCTTCGACAGGTTGCGATACACAGATGTGCATGCATCGGATATTTGTCATATTTCTTGACCTAAAGGAGGCAATCAACCAAGTCAATCAGAAGTGTTGTGGCAGTGTTCAACTTTGAAAGAAAGGTTGAAAAAGTGTACTGAGGCAGTCAGGATGCAATTTTTAATGTACTGATGGACGGTAATAGATTAAGTGATGGCAGTCCTTCCAAAACGCCAGCTTTTTGAAGAGCATTGACATCAACAACCAAAATCTTTGACACCACGATACAAATAATGACAGCTTAGGGAACCTCCAGAAATCATCTTTCACGGGGACATTGATTCGCAGTGATTCTTGTATTGCAACAAAAAGATCTGGGATTTTTTGAAATGGCACATCTCAAATTTTAGCAACACTTGAAGTTAGCTATTCCCAGTTTGTGAAGTTTCAAAGACAGCTAAATTCATCCACATCAAACTGCGGTAGTCTTTAGATAAGCATGTAACAACAAATTCTGGAACGCAGTTTAGCAAACATTTGAACTAACAAACTAACCAATCCGGAACATAATCTCTATTTACTTCATTAGAATTCGTGAGTACCCACCGAAGTTTACATCATCAGACTACACTATTGACTAAACACTTAATACTCGGAAACATAAGCAAGTCCCATCAAATGTATTCATAACAAAGATGTTAACAAAGAGACGGACCCAGACAAATTAAGCAAAACAGTACCCATTTCATTCCAGTTTCTGAGATTTTGGTTGAGGGCAAATTTTGGGCTAGCGACTAATAGTTGTTGGTTGAGTTGCAAAAGTGAGCAAACAATAGTGGAGTTATGTCTAAATTTGATAAATGCATAGTGTCTTGCATATCCTACGTACAAACTTGGCAACTTAGAACATGTGGTGTCACTTCTAATGAAGGACAAGAATGTGACAGTTTTGTATGCTTTTTATTGATGTACTAGTTGTGACTGAACCACAGTTACATCACGATGCTTGAGATCTTACAACGAATTTCCGAACAATTCAACTCCAGGTGGCGTCACCACATTATAAGTTTTCTTAGAGCTAGGAAATAATGTTACATAGGAAAAGAATATATACAGACTACGACAAGTATAAAAGCAGTTTATAAAGCCAGCTCAGAGACTAAGGAGAACACATGGAAACACGTAACTGATATAAAAGTACATTGGACTAATTGATATTAGTATTGCTAAAAATCAACCGATTGATGAGTATATTATTTGACGAATAACCTGATTGTTTCCTCGGGTTATCGCAGTCTAGTTTCAGCCTTTAAGGTATGTTTTTTCAAGTGCATAACTTAGTAATGGTGGAGCTGTAAATAGGTCATCACATCAACCATAGTTCTTGAAATCACCTACGTCCCTATCATAAAATACCAAAAGATAGGGTACAGTTCTGAGGAAAGGGACGGAGGGCAGCACCATCTGCAGCCGGCAATATGCCCTGCGACTTCGTTCGTAGATTTTTCAACCATGATAATTATGGACAACTGGGAATCGACGTTCTATTACGAAGACAGCAGACAAAATGGTTCCCACATCGAAAGACGTTAACAATGGTAGGACCCACTAATAATAGATATAAGTAATGCCTAGTAATTCAAGTTGGATTCTTTAAAAGAAACTGTTCGGAAAGTAGGTCTTTTAACGGAAACCACGGTAAACAGTATACAATAGCCGCCCATCATATACCTAGTTTGAGGAAACAATTCGAGTATAAATCCATCAAACTCATAGGCACTGACAGTCGTGGAGATATTCTCTTACTTTTTGGGAATGATCTTTTTCTCCATCACACTTAACGTCAATATCAACGACCCAATTAATCTCAACCATACGACAGAAACTAACCAGCTTATCGCAGCCCCAGTTTGTAAAGTACACACAATACATTAATCCCGAGAGCAATAGGAAATTAAAATCCCGACTAACGCTAAGTGCTTGTGCAAGCTTTTGCAAGTTTCGTTTCTTCAGAACTACAGAAATGTTCAGAAAAAACCTTTTGGTACTCGTTCAACTGGTTTACAAACTGCTAAAACGACACACGTCTACAGTTGAAGTCTGGTTTAAACGAATGCAAGTTTTAAGTGTGAACCATGACTTTCCTGTTAAATAACTTCATTGCGTGACGAAGTGTGACTAGTTATGTAACTCGTCAAAGCTGCTAAGTTGGAGGACTATGGTTTAATCCTGAAATTCACTCTATGAATACATTAAAAAGTAGAATAGCAATACGTTACATGAAAACTTAATGACTATATATACAGAAAGCAAATTCCACTGAGTCTACAACAGAAAGCCTTCTAACTCGTACAAACCGTTAGGAAA